AGCCTATAGAGGTTTAAATAACATTTTTCGAAATATTGCGCCTACAAGTACGTGAGGCTTGTCCACAAATGCGTGGAGGGCTCCTCATATATTCACTTTTACATCCAAATTAAATTAGTTCCAATTAGATGGAAATGAGGAAAACCTAGCGTAGCTCTGTTGAATCTTCAATGCTAGAGGACATCACGTATTTTGTAAAAAAAAAATTATATTTAATGTATTGAAATTAACTAATCATTTTGGTTATATATATATACTTTAAAATTGTTATGCTATTTGTGCTTGTAAACTTTTATTATTAGATTGAAATAAAGAGATTTCTATTTTTTAAAATTATTGCTGTTCGTCACTTGTTAAACTTATATTGAATAATAAAGTAATATAATAAAAATTAATAATTATATTTCATGTAATTAATATATGTTTAAAACCTTGTTATATAATAATATTTTTTATAAAAAAATTAAATTGAAATATATAATTCAATAATATACAATCCAAGTGTTGGCGTTTATTACTTTCAAATACCTTATTTAAATATATAAAATTAAAGAATATAAATTTTTTTATCATTCTAAAATCTTAAACGATTTAAAAATATATTTATCTACAGATAAAAGTCAATTATAAATTAAGATTTTAATAAAACAGATAAATAAATTAATAACGTTTAGTGTTACATATCATTAGTCATTAGTGTAAATAAAGTAAGCGAATGGATGTTTTTTATTGTTTTCCTAACTATTTATAATTATATGATTCTTACGCATGACATATTTTATAAATTTGTATAAAGAATTTATTATAATACTTTTAGATATATCAGTATCAGATATAAATGTAATTAAAGGTTTACAATTAATTTTTTTTAAATATAATTATATAACAAGATTTTAAACATATATTGATAGATTACATTGAAATATAATTATTAATTTATATTACTTTATTATTGAATGTATGTTGTAGCAAGTGACGAACAGAAATAGTTTTAAAAAATAGAAATTTCTTTATTTCAATTTAAATAATAAAAGTTTACAACTCAAAAAATATAACAATTTTAAGGTATATTACCCTATCAACAAAATTTTTTGTCCTTTAAATTCATTTCTTTCTTAACTATTAATATGAATAATTGAGCTTTTGATTTTATTTATCTAAAAAGTTCTCTCGGCTGAGTTATGAATGTCTTTCGATTTCTTTTCTCATAAAAATCCCTTTTTCTCATTCTAACAATTTAGTTGTACTTTAATAATTAAATTGCCACATCATCCAAATTCCCATAGCAACTTATGTCATCCTTAAATGTATGATAACCTTAAAAAATCATTCTCTTTTGTTAATAACTAAATTTTATAATTGTTTTTTGAGTAACAAATGACCAATAATTTTATGCCAAAAAAAATGTTATAATATAATGGGAAGCTATTATAAAATTCAATATCATTATTGCTTCCCTCCTAAATATAAGAGCATTTGTAGCAAATAATATTTTTATACTAAAATTGTTTAAATGTTAATTAAAGTTTTGATTAAATAACCGATATTTAATATTATACAGAGACCTACAGAAGTTCCATTTTCACGGCCCGGCCCGAATTTTTTAAGACCTGACCTGCAGGTCCCTGATGTATGAATTTAAATTGGACTTTAAAACCTCTGCATTTATCCGATAATTCACATTTAACCAGTTTGCATTTATATGATATTCAACATTTTCAAGCAATATTTATGGCCTATTTTTTCGCATTTAGGAATATTATACTTAACCGATTCGCATTTAAGTACTAAAATAAATTATAAATTACCTTTTAGAAATATGTATTATATTGAGGGCCCTTTAACATATATATATATATATATATATAACAAAAATTATTAGTTAATTTGAATACATTAATTTATTTTTTACAAAATAAATTGATATAATAAAAACGAAAAAAAAGCTTTTAGCACGAAGGTTGTATAAAACGAATTTAATTTTAAATCTTAATTAATCTTAATAACCTACGATTACCAAAAAAAATTTTTTAGTTGAGCCCCCTGAGATTGTGAAAGCTAGCGACGCCCCTGATTAAAGAGAACATTAAGCATTTTCAGTTTTCCAAGGCATTTGCAGTAACCCTTTTATTATTCTATTTTATCATTATTCAAATTACATAGGTTCTAACCTGAACATTTTATTATTTTATTTTATATAACTAATCTTATATTTTTACTTTTCATTTATTTCATTTATTTCAATATTATTCAAATTATATATTATTTTTAGATTCTTCATTATTGTATGTAAAGTTTTTTTAGAATGTTTCTCAAGTAGTTTGTCTTAAATAATATAGATAGTTTATAATAATAATCATTTTGATCAAGTATGATAGAAGGTTAAAAGTATAGGATAATATTTCAATATTTGATTACATAATAACTAAAAATTCAAAAGCAAAGAATTTAAAACTTGGGACTAACAAATATATGCTGTGTTGTCAAAATTTTATAAACTATTTAGGTAAGACATGATATTTGATATTGATGAATCCAATATAGTTCAATAAATAATAACATTATAATATGAATGCTAAAACGGTTTCTTTTTAAGTTATTACAACTTTCCTTTAATTCATTTTTGCAGAAACTTATTTTTCATTATGCGTTTTATAAATTCAAGCTAAAGAAAAATATTATTTTCAGAAATATTATATATATATTTGTCATCATGGGGTTTTAGAAGCTATAAAAAATATATCTCGTACGTCAATGTATTATTTTTTTAAAAATATTTGACCAGTATAAACTTTGGGGAAAATGAAGCAATTTACTAGAAATATAGGCTTGTTTGAATGAGAGGCACTAGAATCAGAGTCTGTAAAAAATCTTCAAAGATTTTATCAATTTTTTAAGATCATAAAATTGATTTTTAAAATAGATATTTTTAATAAAAATCACAAAATATATACTTAAAAAAGACTTTTTTACATACAAATTCAGGTGAAATTGGGCAATTTTTATAAAAAAATCTTCTTTTAAGAATCTTCAGAAATCATAATCCTTGATGATTTTTTATTTTGAAGAGCATTTAGAAACCTGATAAGAATAATGATTAAAATAATATTATTGGGGTTTAATAAGCTTTTGATACCAATAAGCCTTCATTATTGATTTTTAAAACGAAATATTTTATAATTATGTTTTTTAGGAATATTTGGCCATAATATATATAATATAAAATAATAGTATAATATAAAGGTAAATGTTTACTGACATCTTTCATTTTCACTTGTTATACAAATAACAAAAATTGAGAAATCAATAATTAGGCAAAATATAAAAAGCCCCATCAAGTCTCTAAATCAATTATCATACTTTATTCCAATAATTTGATCTAAAAAAACAAGCTCTACATTCTCTAGATGTAAATTTATTTCTTAATTGCCTCCCAAACTCCATTAGCGTATTTATTTATAAAAGATCTTATTAGAGATTCTTTAATCACAGTATATAAAGAATGCCATAAGTTAGTCCCGCTATTATTCAGTAGAATTTTTGATCATAGACAATTGTTAATATTTTATATATGCATACATATATAGCCTTTTTTATTTGCTCTTTAAATTATAAAAAGTTGGTCATTTTTTTGGCCGCCATCAATGAGTTAACTCTCTTTATCTTAAATAGAATACAATGTTAATTTATGTTTTTGATAATCAAAACCCATTTAAAATACTTACAAAAGAATGCCTAATAATTGTTTATTTAACTTTTTAATATTAATAGGCGATTGATTTTTTTTATGATTGGTTAGTATTTTTATATTTTATTTTTATTAAAATCATATTTTTGAAGAAGCATTTTTTTTTTTAAGTTGTGAATATTTTTCACTATGTGACAAATTCATCCACATACAAAAAGCGAGACTGTGACGGAATCTAAAAGCAAACCATAAAAGAAATGGGGATCGGGATAATATTCATGAATATCTTATTGAACATATTTATATTCCAAAATATTCATTATTAAATAGTTTCAACATTTTTTATATTTATTAATAATTTTTATAAATTTTAATACTATACTACTTCATATTAATGAATAAACTGGGTCAGTTTTATTTTTTTAAATATAACTTATACATAATTCTTACAGCAAATATTTTGCCCTATTTCATTATAAAAATTTAATTAAACCACCCCCCCCCCTCCCTTTTTAAATAAAATTCCACTATTCCTAGCCTACCTCATTTAGATGCATACCAGAGACCCTCATGGCGGGTATGGGTCTAATATTACATTTTATAGCGAGCCTGGGCCGGGCCTGGATTTAATAATTTTTTTTAATGGGCCTATAATTATAAAAGTTAAATTTAGGATATTTAAAAAGAAATATTCCCTTTTTTTCTTATAATAATAATAAATTTCATTATTGTATATTTGCCTAAATATATTTAAATATTGTTTATTTTCATTAAATAAAAAAAAATTAAATTTTTGGATATGAGCTTGGGTCGGGTTTGGAAATATTTGAAACTTATAATGGGCTTGGGAATTTTGTTTAACATTAGATATAAGCCGGACTGGGCTTGGGCCTAAAAAAATTTTTTACTGCAGGCCTGGGCCAGGCTTGATCAAAAAATTAAGGCCCATGAAGGTCTCTGATGCATACCTCTTCAAAGATTTGTAGGCCAAATGTTCCTAGCCCCCCCATCCCCTCCCCACATATTGATGTCTATTATGGCTAAGTGGTCTCAATTCACTCACATAACTTAGAAAATATTAATTTAAAATTCCTAAATAATTTAAAAAATTTATGAATGTTTTTAAAAAAAATATTTATATAAAATAAAAATACAATTCATAAAAACAAAAAAAACAAACATTCCCTTATCAATATTAAAAAAATAAACATAGAAATAGTGCCATAATAAAGAAACGACAACATAAATTGTTCTAAATTTTTATAAGCAACATTATCTTTAATTAGCACCATTTCTAAATTTTCAATAAACAGATGGCACAAAAATCCCATACATTCAATATTTGAATTAATATTTTTGTTAGCCTTATTTTTAGATTGTAATGTTCTCATACTATATTTCAAGTACGTATAATGGCAGATAGAAGGAAATTACAAAGTTATTTTATCTATTTACATAAGAATAAATAAATGATATTAGGTGAAATTGATAGGTGCCTAAAGAAGGTTACAGAAGGCGTTGAAATATTTGAAGATATCTGGCAAAAAGTTTTACAAATAATTTATAATATTTTAATTTTTATTTATATTCTTTTTAAATTATGGTTAAGTTCATAGTAGGTAAATTATTATATTTTAATTTGTATCTAAAATTTCCAGTGATTTTTTTACAATTTAGATAATTTAAGTTTACATGCTCAAATACTATAAAACTAAATGTACATTTTATATAGAGCTTATACTTTTTTTTTCGATTTATTGAAAAACGTTATTAGATGATTTTATTTAATAATATTCCAAATATAATTTTAATGAGTATATTCTTATAAGATAGTATATAAATTTAACTTAAATCTTGAAATATATCTTTATTAAAAATTTTTTAAATATCTAAATTTAATTATTAATACTAAAATAATAAAAGGTTGCAAAAAATGTCAATACCATTATTTTTATTCTTTCAAACAAATTTTTATTTAAATTGAGCTTTTATAAAATAGAAAATTTTTTACTGATAATTTATTTATTAAAAATATTCTAAATAAATTTACTAATTAAAATAATTTTCTGCATCAATGGTTTTACTTTTACATAAAAATATATATAAAATAATTTATTGTTTAACCATTAATATTTAATCATATAATAAAAATTTATATATTGTTATTTTAATAATTAATTACATTAGAGAAATATTCTTCACACTCATAGATTTAAAAATGTGAAAAAGATATACAATAATTTTATTATTGTTTACCTTTGTATTTGAGAAGGTTTAAGCTAATTATATTGCGATTTACATTTTTTTAAATAAACAAGGAACATATTTCTCTAATTTTCATGATGTCACAATGATGGTTATTTTAGAAATGAGAATTAGTTAATGTGAAGAAAATTTGATTATATATTACATTCCAAATCTTATAAAGCACAATTATTTTACACATAAAAATAAAAATATTAAGTATTTTTTCTATAAAAACAATGAACTTTCTTTTTATTCAATAAATTTATAGATATTATTAATATTATTATTAAAATTTAGATTATTTTATTATTTTGCAATACCATTGATGCACAAAATTATTTTATTGATTTAAAAAATTTTCGATAATTTTATAGATATTCTACTGACCTTTAATGAAAAAATTATAAGTTTAAGTTTTAATTTTTTTTTTATAATGGTTTGTTTTGAACAATAATTTGTTCCATAAAGATCAAAAAAAATAGGTTTATCGACATTTTTTAAATTTTCTCTAAATTGAATGGTAAACAATTATAAAAGATTTTGGTAAACTTATTTTATGTTCTCATAATAAGAGTATCTGGGTGAAAACAGTAAACCCTATAATGTACCTTATTTTCTTTTGTTTTTCTATATTTATTCTGCTCTGATCCAGGTCAGAGCCCTGTATGTAAAACCTGCCTGATTGTCAGCCTAAAAAAAAGTTTAAAATATTTTGGGCCAGGAATGGACCTAAATATATATTTCCTTAAATCAGGCCAGTCTTATTAAAAATGAGATGGAAAAATGTTGTTATTTATTTAATTTTATATAATATGCAAATTAATATATACATGTAATTAAATTTTTTTTTGATCAAGGCCTAAAAAATAATTAAATTTGTAAGGTCTTTAACTTGGACTAAAATGGGTTATTTGCGAAATTATTTTTTTTAAAAAATGGCTTCACTTGTGGTTCTTAACATTTTGAAAATTGAGTTCTAGTTCTTAAATTTGATCTGATGCTGTTCCTGGCAGACGTATACCAACCCCAATCTAACCAAACTATGTAATTCATGTCAAGATATTCATTTTTTGGGGGGTTGGGATCTTCATGTGGATTGGGCTTTGAAGAGTTTTTTTGTCACAGTTTTGAATTTAATCAGTAATAGCTTGATTGTGCATTATTTTACAATTTTGTTTTTTTTAGATTTTATTAAATTTTTGGGCAAATTTTTTAAAAAATATATTTACTTTTTGGGTCAAGTTTTGTTGGAAATATAAAATTAATTTAATGTGTGGGTCATGCCTGAAATTTTTTTTAAAAATAATGAGGGTTGGGAAAATATTTTTCTCAGAAGCCTGTAGGTCCGAAGTCCATATTTTAATTTTTCGAAATTTACCCGGACTGGACCTTATATTTTAAAAAAATTAAAATAAATGTGATTTATTTAAAAACAAATCTGGGTCCAGCCTGAAAATCGAAAACTTGAGCCGGACCCAAAAAGTCCTGGCTGGACTGGACTGAATTTTTTTAAAATAAACCTGGCCGGGTTTTGCACCTCTCATAGGTCTCTGATTTTTTTTCCACAGGTTAAGTTGAAATTTATCTCTTGCGGATAAAAATAATCGCACGACATTTAAACCCATAACTGGTTTATAGTGTTAACGGCTCGATTTGGCCAAGTTTAAATTAAGATTTTAAGCTGAAAATCCGAAATTTCATTAATAGATGTGCAGACCTTTCCTCCATCTGATTAAAACCTTTCAGGCTGGTTCAATTTTTTTAAGGCTAAAATATTGGGTTAGTCGCTTAACAGCACTACCAGTTTGGGAAGCCATTTTCTGCAAACTTTATAAAATAGTCTATGGTTCGTATAAAATGAGTTTCTCGTTCCATCTCTAGTTATAAAATATTTTTTATTTAGTCCGCCAGAGGATAACTATTTTTTGGTAGATAAATCAATTTATTTACCAAATCCTCTAAATATGTTCATATTTTAAAATAATAAAAAACAAAGGTTCACACAGCCACAAATGCAAACCAAAAAGATAAATATGAAACCGATCTCAAGAAAGAGATAAAGAAGCTTCAGAGACTGAGGGATCAGATCAAGACCTGGACGGCCAGCTCTGATATCAAGGATAAGAGACAGTTGCAGGAGAACCGAAGGATTATCGAAACGCAGATGGAACGTTTCAAAGTAATAGAAAGAGAAACCAAGACTAAGGCCTACAGCAAGGAAGCACTATCAGGTGGCACTACTGGTGTTGGGATTCATCCTGGTACAGGACATCCCAGGGAAGCAGGCAAAGGACGATCAAATCGTAAATCTGGCCGAAAATTAGCGAAGAAGAACTTGACCGGAGATGGGAAAAATGAAGTCAACGAGATGAAGGCCTGGATAACGGTTTTCCCCCCTATAAATCTGAAATTTATATATGATAGGCACTATAGCATATAAAATTGGGTTATTTCATGTCAAATCGATCGATCGAGTATTCGTTTCTAGTGTTAGGAATTTTATGCACAAACTGAGTTACATGTAACATGTATTTGTGTAAAAATATTTAGTTTACTATCTGTTATACTTTTGGAGATATGAGTAGTGATACAATGGCATGTAATAATACTTAGACAGACGATGAATTCGTAATTATGCATTTGAAAGCGTCGTTGAATGCAAATCAGCTGGACCCGCCATTTTGGTAAACCCGTTTAGTAATTATTCTCATGTTATAAAAAAACGACTATTAAATTGATAGCTCGCTTCCTTATTGAACTAGATGATCAGGCAATTCTTCGATAAAGTTAATTGGCATCTCGTTCAATATTTTAAATATTCATATGGATAATCAAAACGGCGTCCCTAGCTGTTTTCATTGATTTACAACTTTTAATGAATGCATCTTCAATCTAGGTATTATTATATGTCATTGGGGTAATGCCACGAAAATTTTCATTTAATTATTGAGTGCCGGCTTTCATTTAATTAATGATTAATAAATTTAATTATCAAAATAAATTAAATTTTTTTTGGCCAGAACAATATTTAAAAAAAATCTCATACTGAAAAAATGGGTCCCTCCTATTTTAATAAAATTTTATTCAAACAATTACTATTACCATTTTATATCAAATTCAATAGCAAAAATTAGAGATGAACCTTTATGATATCATGGATAAACCCAAAAACTAGTAGAATAAAAGAGGCTATTAATGTTCATAATATTAGGTAACATACCATCTTCCAATGTATAATGGAATAGACTTTGGACTGAGCAGATTCCTAACATATAAAATATGGCATAATTGAATGATTTCATTTGATTATCAATCAATAAAAAGGATTCTTGCCGTATTTTAAAGGAGGAGATCTGCTGCACAGCACAGTCTCCACAAGCTAAGTTTAAAGGTTAGGGTCTAAAAAAAATATTATAAAGAGTTAGCTTCATGCCATGAAACAAAATAGAAAAAAACAAATCCAATGAATCAGCCGCGCAATTTATACATTTGATTGGCTTTGAATTGACCACTTAGGATTTTGCGTAAGGTTATCTAGTCATTGTTGACAAATATTTTTTAAAGAAAATATCGTCAATATCGAATTTTTGCAAGTTTAAATTTTATTTCCTGAGAAAGAATATGCTGCCCAGGAGTTTCCCCTTTTCCGGCCCTTAATATTTTTGAACCCCTCCCGACTTGCACGCCGCTGAGATGTTCCCAACAGTTAATATCCCCCAGGAAAATTAATCGATAAAAGACCCTCTGCCATATTTTTATCTTTAAAGCCCGACCCAAATCACTTTCCAAAGTTTCGTCCATGAGCCCGGTGTATCGAAATGACAGGGAACTTACCAAAAGTATAACATAGAAATAATATTATGCCATCTATAGTTTAACATAATATTTCCTTTTTTTCGACATTATGTATGAAATAGTAAAAGCTCATCTCTACTGTCTCTTCTTCTTTTTTTTAAATTCATGTAAGACGGAATAAATAGTAATGTTTATTTTGTACAGAATTTTTATTAAAATCCAAGTGGCCCATTCATTTTGGTATGAGGTTTTTTACAAAATAATTGTTCTAAGCAATAGAGGCCCCCAAAATATTTTCCTAAAAACGCAAAGTAGTATATGTTCCATTTTGGTACTAAATTTATTATCAACAAGTATAGTATTTAAACTAATCACGTTAAATAAATAAAAAATAGAAATTTGTTTTTTTTTTTTAAAAAAAAGAATAATTTTTCCTGCTTTTTGATATTTCCTAATGGTGTGAAGGCTTAGGATGCCTAAAATTTTGTCCAGTCATATGGTATAACAGTTTTGTATATTAAATTTGATAAAAAATTGGAAAAAGGGTCTTCCCCACCCATATTTGATCGACATGGAATGATCCAATTCCTAATATCCTCCATAAGAGTAATGTAAGCAAGGGAGAAATTAGTAAATCCCAGTCCAATTTTTTTTTCTTCTTACAGTTTAAATTTTTGATGAAAAGTATTAAAACCGAACTATTACAGGGTAAAGCAAATATTCTTTTATAATATATATATATATATAATTATGTGGCTCAATGACCGCTAGTAAGAATTAAGGAGGTATCAGAAATCCATTGCCGAGGAAAGGCTATGCTTTTCTCCTGTAGAGTATATCGTACTTCTTTTCGACTATATTATATTATGACAAGTTTTCTCCATATTATTTGCGTAAAAAATTAATTTTTATGTGGATATCTATATTTTTTTGCTGTTTTCATGTCTTATACTACATTATGAATCAAAATTTTAAAAGGTGCATTCATTGTATAAAGAGCACCACATTACGATTTTATTTCCAATAATTGTTTCAAGTTAATGCTATATTCATTAGGGTATTCAAAATCTAAATTTATAGTTGAAAAAAATGATGCATTGGTTAATTGTGTGATTGAGGGTCTCTTACAAACTTTGACTAATAAAGAAAGATTTGTAATTTGTGTTGATATTAATATATGGGTTCTCTCAAGATATTGCTCATGCTATTTATTCACCGAATTGAACCTATCAAAAAAATATATATATATATATAAATAATTTATTTAAAGTAGACGAACGCCCATCTTGACAAGTTAATCAGTTATATAAGCCTTGGTACAAAAATATCGCTCAGATTGGATCGGTTAAAAGCATCCATAATTTGACTAACATTTTATATATAATAATTTATAATTTACTTATATCTGAATAATATATTTTTTAACCTCCCCCCTCCTCCACCCCTAATCTCGTTTAGTCATTAATAGAGAAGCTCAGAAATCAGACCAGTGCATTCGAAGAAGAAATCGAGGCTGCCGTTCAAAATTCTAAGAAGAAAAAATTAGAAAAAGAAGTTATTTTTAAAAATATACTTTTTTTTATAAGTTTTTGAGATTCTCACCCCTCCCCCCTTTATTGTTCGAGCCCTTAAAAAGTGTATTTGGGTAATTATACTATATCTTTAACCTTTCAAGCACCAATTTTTTAACGGGCTAAATATTCTAGTATTTTTTTTTTAAGCTGAAACTATCACTTTGGTTTTGGAGATTTTTTTCCTAAAAAATAGCAGCTCAAAATCGAAAAGAGGAACTAATGTAAGTTAGATGCCTTAATGTTAACGGGCTTTTATCCGGCATGCGCATTTAGACTGTGGCAACATTTGGCCTTTAACCCAACTATTATTGAGGAGTTATTAATTATTTAAATTTGTATTTTAAAAAAAAAATTTAGAAACAGGACAGGGTGGATCAGCTGAGGAAATTGGTGGAGAAGCACAAGTACCATGCCAAAAATTTAGATATCGTTTTCAGGATGTTGGATAGCTCTCTCGTCGATTGCGAAAGTGTAAGATATAAAATAATTTTTTTTCTAATATCACTTAACCTTGGTTTACCCCTAAGCGCCTTAACAAGATTTTTATACAAGAAAAACATCGTTCCAATCTTCAAGTTAAGGTTGTTATTTATCCAATCTTATAGGCTAAAAGGTTTTGGCCAAGTCCTCTTATAGTGCGCACAAATTGAGCAACGTAACGCTTGCTTCGTTTAAAAATGAAGCGGCATTTTTTAAAATTATTGTAATTTTGTTATGGAGTTTATAAGGATGGATCAAGAAAAGATGTTGGCATTATATTTATTACTAAAACATAAAAGGAGAAGGAAAAGCAGAGGGAAAAAATCACATATATATATATTAGAAGGCAATTATTTTCTGAGTATGTTACGCTTAAAGGTTATCTAACAACATCTCAGTTCTTTAAATTATATAATAATGAAAAGAACAACATTTTCGCACACTCTTACCATGATACACTAACACTATTATATTAATCCTAAAGTTACCAACTGTAACAAGCAAATTGATCCAGAGGATAGGTTATTTCTCACCATAAGGTAACAAATATTTGATTATCCTATATTTATTCATAAAAGATATTTAATAACTGGTATGTCTTTCTCACAATTATATAGTTTGTGTTGCATCCTATGTTATATCAGTATCACGGGCATGTGATAATCTCTTTCCTCTCTACATAGACCTTTTTTAGGATAGAGTTTCATCAAATAAGATGACAGTGGAAATGCATCATTAGCCACCATAACATATGGCATGTCTCCATTAATGCCAGGAAATGGTTTGGCAGGTGGTAGATCAAGAGTCTGGTTAACAATATCTGTACATTATTTTTACCATATAATTGATTTAATATGAGTTAAAAATGATTATAATCTATCCTCTATACAAGGAGCTATTTTTCGATACTCCCCCATTAATCTGCTTTCCATAAACCCCAACATCAATGAATATTACTATTTATGTCTGTTAAGGCTAACAAAAACTAAAATCAATCTATGTTTGTAACAAAAAAAAATTGAGATTCACTATTGGGAGGGCATTTTATATAAATATGTTTTCCATCCAAGGCACCAAAACAATTGGGAAACCCTGAATGAATCAAGAACTCTTGGGAAATCTTAGTAATTATATATTAAATTGTTAGAATTTATAAATTTAATGTACTCTTTCCCAATCTTTTCTTGAAGGCTTTGGCATTTAAATATCTTTGTGAGCATTCCAAAATGCCCTGCATACTGATTTAATTATGTATGCAACACAGGATTTGGATATCCTTGAACTATATGATAATTGTGAAAAGGACATACCAGTTATTAAATATCTTTTGTGAATATATAGGAAAATTATTTGTTACCTTAAGGTGAGAAATAGCCTACCCTCTGGATCTATCTGTTTAATGCGGTTTGTAACTTTAGGATTGATATCATCATATATCAAGCTAAGAATCTCTTATAATTAAAGAACTGAGATGTTGTTAAATCACCACCTTTCAGTTGTAACATACTCAGAGAATAATTGTCTTTTAATATATATTTGGGATGTTTTTCCTCTACTTTTCTTCCTTCCTTCATGTTTTATCAAATAAATATAATGCTAACATCTTTTCCTGATCTATGCTAATAAAGCTCCATTTTTTTTTTTACAAAATTATGAATAATTTTAAAAAAGGCCGCCTCAATTTAAACGAAGCAAGCGTTACGTTTATTTTTTTGTTAAAAAAAATACGGCAAAACGCAAAGTGCTTAGGGTTTATCAAACACTACAGGGTTATAGACCTGCAGAGTAACCATTAGCATGGCACGGTCAATATTTTTTTTTATATTACATTTTATTCTTAATTTTTTTATAGCTAATAAATGGCCATTTAAGATATTCGTTTTTAAAATATATGAGCTGGCCCGGTTATTTTTAAAAAAAAAAAATTAAAAAGCGAAGCGATCTCCGGGCAAGTCCTGCAGGTTTCTTTTTTAACTTAAATTAAAGTTTAGAAAACCTGGAACATTCGTTAATATTTAGATGGGTTGTGAAAAACCAAGGCTCTTATCCTAAACCGAACCCCCAAAAAGGTTATGTCTAGAACTTAACCACGGCTAAAACTATTTTTTTTTAGTGGGTTTTACAACCCTGGTTTTAAATTTACCGTGAGGTAATAAAAACGAAAAATGGCGGTTGGGCTTGTAAGCCAGCTGTTTTTTTTAAAAAAATCAGTTTCGGATTGGGGGATGCCTAGGGAAAAATTTCTTAGAGGTTCAGGGTTTGCAAATCGGAAAGTATATTTTAAAAAAAATCCCTTAAGCCTACAGATGTTATTATTATATTGTTCTATCTCTATTTTACTTGAAATTCATTCGATCGCCCCTTTAAAAATTGCGAGAATAGGCTATTTTGAATGCCTAATTTGTTATTTTTTTTCTGGTGGATTTAAAGGAGATAGTTTTTTTTAGAAAAAGAAAAATATATATATAATTGGAATCAAAATAAATATTTACAGATTAAAAACATAAAAGACGATCTGGAGTTTTATATAGAATCTTGCCAAGATCCCGATTTCAAGGAGAACGAATACATCTACGAAGATTTCAACCTCGATGAAACAAGTTATATATATCTTCTTTTTTTAAAAAAACTCATTTTTAAGGCTTTAGTCCTTGAAGTAGCTTTGTTTAATAAGCTCGATACGGGTCGATTTAATAAAACGGTAATATTATAACCAACATAACATCATGTGACCCTAAAGATTTTACTCACACAGCTGGCAGAAATGCTGGGACATCTATTCTCCAAATTCTAGATGTTTACATAATATTATTTTAGCTAAAATCTTAATCGGGCGTTTTAACGACACTACTGAGGAATAATATATTCCGGGTTTAGGAATTTCAATCTCCGCCAATAAATTATCCGGTTCAAGTAATCCTGGGGAAGTCTATCCCCTTGACATTAAGATTGAATCGCACTCCAGATTTGTTTTGTTCCTTATCCCCAAGGCCCCTTTTTACCGTCTGCATTATATTCGATACTTTCGATACAATTTTTATCTATAATATAATCGGATTTTCGCCTTTATCGTGAAAGAGTTTTTATATAAAATCACCAGAGTTGTTAAAAGATACTTTTTAAATGGATCTAGATACAGTTACATCGTCTAAAATAATATCTAGATACCGATATTTTATTCAAAAATCTATCTAGATACAGATACCACATTTTTATATTTAGATACAGGATCTAGATAAACAACTCTAAAAATCACAATTAGATTTTACGAGGCAAGGATTTATGATCTTTGTGAAGATAGATTTTTTTTTTTTATTTTGAAGAAATTGTTAAATTCCTTTCTTATAATAAATTCTCTACTGTGACAAGGCTTTAGTTAAATATAAATGAAATACTTTTTTTTTGTAATTGGAGAACTTTTAACGGAACCCAAAATATGTCAGAAAATTTGATGGAATCGAACCTAAATTTTATTCAAGTCAGATCAATCAATTAGTCCGGGAAATAAATTTCATTTTTTGAGCGAAAATAATGATTGATTGATTGATTGTACGGGAAATGGACTTGATTCACCTTAAAAATCATTCCTTTCGTCAAATGAGCTCTGATGCATGCGAATCATTTATTATCACTCGAATATAAAAAATGAGTAAAACGGTTCTTTTAAACACAAACACCAGGTTTTTTTTTAAAAACGAAAGATATATTATTTGACATTTCGGCAAACAATTTTTGAAAACGTAAAATTTTTTATTTTTTACAGATGAAGATGACTCCTACACCCCTTCGACCAATAGCCCCGCATCGCCTGCGCCCTCTAGCCCACACACCCCTTTTGGCTCGCATCACCTTTCAAGGGTTTGGCATATTTAGCGCCTTTATATATATATATAAATATACACAATTTTGAATTGACTTTCATATCTTGGTATTGGTAACTAGAATTTATACGAGATGCCCTAAAATTTTTTTATCACACTCAGAAGAAGATCTGAATGAAAAATAAGGCTAGGATAGCTTATCGCGGAAAATAATCTTTGATGATCAAAAAAAATCTTCTCTCAAATCGTATTTCCCTATTTTCGCGGCTAAAGAGATAAATGATCAAAATTCTATTTACCATAAAATATTATATCCTTTCTTAATTTCTATCAAAACATTGATTTTACGATGACTTTCCAAATGTATGAAGGGAAGTATATACGGACAGTTGGGTTTAATTATTTTGTTTTGTATTTTTCTTGGTAAAAACCTGATTTGCTTTATAATTAACCCAGTAATTTTTATATAAGAAAAGAGATAATAAATTTATCACTTAGCCATTATTTTAATCCATATTGTTTTTTGTTTACAATCGACCAATCAACTGCATTGTTTTGGTTGGCACGCGTTAACGTTTAGCATTAGCCAAATATTGTTCCTTGATTAAATATTTGTTTATTTATTTTATTTTTTTTTAAAAAAAAAATGTTTATATTCGGCAGAATTTGTTCGAAGATGATTTGAATAGTGGCAGCCTGAACAACACCGTAAAAGATATGGAAGACACCATGGGCGAAAGTTTCTTGGAAAATTCCGCCGAAGATAGGGATTTGAATGCATTGGACAAGGTTTTTATATCATAAATACAATAACATTATATTATAGGTCCGCTAAATCGATCCAAAAAGGCCCCTCAAAAAATAAACCGGAATGTCTTGGTTGCATTCATAACCCGTACTTTAATTTTAGTGGATGTCACGGCCCGGGTTAGACCGGTTCACACTAATCGGACCGGTCCATAATCCTCGAATAAATAACCGGTCCAGACTGTGGACCTAAATAAGAGACCCTCTAGGACTGGACTCTTTATATTTTATTTAAAATATTATTTTATGTATCTTTTATAATTTAATTCTTGTTTTAAAAGTATTTTATCAAATCAATTATGAATAAATATAATTTAAATAATACAAATAATTAATATAACAAATTAAAAACCTTTTTTTGGCAATCTTTTCGTTTTCATGGTACATTGCCAAAATATGATATGATTTTTTTTTTCAAAAAAAGAAACTAAAAAAATCCCCCAAAACTAAAAGTAACTCCTCAAGGAAATTAAAATAAATACGTATAAAAATTATTTACTACAAAAAATTTTATAAATCGAAAAGGCAAAACTTAATTATTAAAACCTGACCGAAAAATAATTAAAACCCGGTCCTGACTAGTGTTGGGTCGTAAAATTTACGACCTAATTATATGCTCAGGCCTGCTCTGAGCACAAACCCCAGGTCTGTGCTCGAGATTCATGCTCAGAGCTGGTTTGGTCGTTTTTTAGACCCAAACCCCGGGTCTGGGTTTCACACAACCAACCAATTAACGACACTAGTCCAGACTGCCTTCTACGAAAAAAAAATAATACCTTTTCAACTATTTGATTTTATAAAGGAGAAATTTGGTTCAAACACCCCTCTTTAATTATTTATTTGAAGGGTGAGGGGATCGGATATGTAATAGTTTAACATAGAAAACCAGAAGAAGGTGTGGGCCACTGACGCCAGTTGTGCGGAGCCAATCAAAAAACATATCTCAATCCTTTCTAAAGATACTTAATTGACATGTGTAACGCTTCTACAATATTGATCGACATAATAAAAGAATCTTAATTAAATCTTAATAATTTTTTTGTTTACCATCACGTATCCATGTCTTACTAAATGTACAAATAACGCGTATTATTCGATAGTAGAAACGAATAATTAAATGACATTTATCAAAGATAATAGATGCTATCTTAAAATTTGCTTAAATTTCATCGAAATGAAATTTTCTGTATTTTTTTTTTCTAATAGTTTATATTGACGGGTGTCATTTTTCATTTTCGGTAACCGAATAATCGTTTGCAGCATAAAAATAAAAAAAATTCATCCGAAAAAAAAATAAATAATGAAAGTTATTGGATTTAAAAATTTGCATAAAAATGGCGATATTTCATAAATTATTCTCAAAAATAAGTGAAAAAAAAATTTTAATATATGAAATTATAAAACTTCTTTTTTCGAGGTTTCGAGAATTCCAAAATGAAATACGCGAATAATGGTTTATCACTAAAAATTTTATCAACCACGTTTTTGATGTGTGTTGAAAATAAATCTTTTGGCGAAGTGCCCAAAAAGCTTTTGATCTTCGGTGCGGGAATTTATCTATCAATGGATCATCAAGCTAGTTGATTTGTCTTAGTAAATATATTTAAATATAATGGTTATGACTGAATAGGTATCCCACCTAAGCCTAACCATTATTTTTTTTTTGTTACGATTTATTTTATTCTTTTTTAAAATAAAATTTTATTTTTTTTAAAAAAAATAAAAAGTCTCTTTATTCGCAAGATAGCCCAAATAGCATCGGTCAAAAGCTGGAATCCACTTTTGAATCGGACCACAAGAACGCGAAGGAGTAAGCGATACGTTTTCCCATTCATCTTTTATTTTAAGGATAATCGATAGTAAAGGTCGGCCAGACCTGAACCTCCCCGCGAATATTTTAGGAAAGGAGCTTTAGACCTTCTGACCTCTAAATTTTTTTTATATGGTCTGGCCAATAACATAATTTTATGGGAATTGTCCAGCCCGGCCCATAATGAATTTTTTTCATGAATAGAAAGCCACGTATTTATGCACGAGTTACCCCTAAAAAAATATGTTCTCGCCGACCTCTATGCTATAACTTAAAACTGGAATATATTTCCAAAAAAAATGAGGATTTACGGTATTAATTTTTATTTTTAAATTTAAAAATTCTTAGGGTCGATAAGGAATCAGTGACTGGCACGGAAATCCATCTTGACCGTTCCTCCTTTATTCCACTCGGTTTATTTCCGTTATTTATTTATACGTTTTCAGAGGTGTTTTTCTTTTAAATTTTCATTAGATCTCTGCCACTTTTATATAACTGTACTAATAGTATTTTTGGGACTATTTTATGTAAAAGTAATCCTAGTTTTTTTTTAAAAAAAAATAAAATTCTTTTTTAAGAATCCGCTAGGAACACGAAAACATCCGAACTTTTTCAACGCCAGCAGCTTGAAAAAGTAAACGAGTTTTTTATTGATTTGATTTATCTTTTAAATATATTCACTTTTATGTGCGCGGTTCGAAGCCTCAAAAAAAATGAAGCAACATTTTTCGCGTGGTAGTTCCTATGACATTTAGTAATACCTCTATCGATGATTGTTTCGTTTAGATGGGTATGAATACAAATCAGCTGGTGGCACGCCATTTCGGTTTCCCAAATAAACAATGGGCAACCTTTCCACAATCCTGTTTATCCCACCCCATCATAGAGGATTTCGCATATTACAGGACTATCACTCAATCTCCCCAAATGTGAGATATGCTTCCTAAATCTTACATCCATTCCTTTAGGCACCGCATACCATGTCATTAACAAGAGATGAGATGACTGATTTTGGATCACCAATTGGGGGTGAAAGTCCATCGAAACTTTTTAAATAAACATATTCTAAACATACTATTTAATTATTCCCTGTTCATCATTTCCTTTTTTTGATCAAAAACTACTTTAGTATACCCAAAAATCCTCTACCACCTGAGATCCGCACCGATCTATAAATGCAATGATTTGCTAGTTTCTCATGAAATCCAAAGTCTCCTCGTAAATATATTGAACATAAAACTTTCCCGATTAATCCTGGCTTCAAGCCACTCTCCCCAGCAAGTCAGGTGGTATAGGTACCCTATCCCCTCTACGACTTTCTCTTTCAGCAACAGCTTGCCCACCTTCTATCGTCCTGCCTTCAGCATCCAAAAAGATTGGGATGCTCCTTTGATCGCCCGTTCCGTTGAACACCTTATTTCGAACAGGCTCTTTGAGGAAAATCCTTATAACAATATTAAATTCGAACTCAGGCTACGAATGGTTGGGAGCCATCCTTAGTTCCAATCTTGGTCTCCTCATGACAGGCGAACAGCCACCTATATCCATAGCCCTTCTCTTAGGCTGTAATGCTGAAATATACCCTCAATTTGCATCAATTGTGACCAGCCCATATAATTAAATGCCATACCATGATAATTAAATTATGCATTTAAAAATCTTTTCTAGATTGAAATCACAAGTCTTTTTTTTAGATCATGAAGATTTAAAATATTATCGATATCATTAAGCACCATACTAGGCTTTATTTTTTGTCATATTTAGTATCCATCCATTTCTATTTTTAAATATTAACATTGCTAAACGTCTCGCCTAATTGATTATATTTTCTCCTCCGTTTAATGGCGATTTCCAGGTTTCCCAGGTTGGCCAGTTTTTCCTCTGATTTTAATCGTTAGTAAATTTTGTAGCAAGGTTTTTACAATCGGATGCCCTTCCTGCCATCAACCCCTTTTAGGTAGTTTTTCCTATTTGGATCCAGACCACAGGGAAACCTAATCGATTATATGTTAATACGATATTCTTTGTTGGAATATATCATCCCTTAAAGGAATAATTATTTTATTTTTAATTTTTTTAGGAAGTGGATGAAAGTTTTCGGGTAACGGATTCCCTAAAATATATAGCATCTCAGGCGATTTTCAAGGACTCTGTCGAACCTCAACTTAACCAAAGGGCACCCGAACCTAATCCTACCAACAGTTTTTCATTTTATATATAACAATAATTATAAGAGACTTGCAAATGTACGCATTTTAGGCCCTGGCTGGGATTTGTCGGTCCAGCCCGGAATTTTTACGATAGCCCGGGATTTTTGAAATTCCGTTATTTTATTTTGAATAAATTTGGCGCTGTCTTTTTAAATTGTATCGAATAGATACTGAAAAAATTATGAGCAATAAGTGAATATTCATTACAGTGAACGATGTGATTTTTTCGTTAGACGTGTTATTTTTGCAATAAAATCGATACTATTTTATCATTCTTTTCATAGTATTTGAAACGTCAATTAATGCCAAAATTAATGCGGAATTGATTTTCCAACCAATTAAATTTAGTATATTTGTATATCAACACTAGGGGTAATCACGAACAAAAAAAAGCGGTCATTTTTATTTTGAATATAAATTTGCTGGCATTCCAAAACAAGAATTTATTTCAATACAAATAAAATGCAGAAACGCAAAACTTGTCCCGCATATCCATCCTCCAAAAATTACTGCTCAAACCCCAAATACCCCAACAACTGCCCAATCTTCAACCTTCCATCAACCTTGGTCACAATCCTTCGCACCCTGACATTAACAGCCTTAACTCTCTTCCCACCCAACCTCCTTACCTCTCTGACAGCAACTATCAAACAAACGCTAGTTCTCTTTCTTTCTCCACTTCCTCTTCCTTGCTGCAGGCTGCTATGCGGGATTTTAACCTTTCTAATACCACCACTATCGCCGCCACGACTAATATAAATAATAACAACAATAGCGATAGCGATAGGTTTATAGCTATGGGACATACTCATACCGATAACAAAAAGTAATAAAAAATTTTTTTTAGCATTCCATTCAATTTAATTTATTCCATTTCCTTAAAACGAATTTCTGGATTCGTTAAACTCGGTGTTGCACCAATTTTACACTTTTTTATATATATTCGGATTGCACCGATATCCGTCTATTACTCGAAGGTTCGAATTAGTTCCTTTACACGAGACATCTGCGACTGATACATTTTTAAAAGGTAGGACCGATTCCTGCTCCCTCCCGGGAATTTTAACAGGTCACATTCCATATAATAACCATCCTTTAGCAAGCATCATATCAAATATATATGAAATGCTACTAGATGATACCATTTTTCGGGACCTGATATGAATTTTATATATATAGTGCTAGTAGGGAACCTATTAAGATTCACTTCCACCATGTTTTTTATTGTAATTTTTAACAACGGCTGGACATTTTACGTGGGCCCTATAAAGCTGCATTATATAAACGGAACGATTGTCAGACCATTTGATAATGGATAAATCGACTCCATTGAAACGCCACATTTTTTTAACATAACTTCCTTTTTCTTTTTTTTTTAAAAAAAATAATTTTTGACCTGTCGACAAAAACGCAATTTTTGAGGCGATTTGACCTAACCAATTGATACGCGTTGTATCCCTCTTTGCGTTAGATTTATTTGAACGTAAAAAATGAATGAAACTTTTCGAATCGAATATTTGCACAAAATTTATTTTCTTCAAGATTTATAGAGGACGTCCTATCTCGCATGATAGTCGCCAACAATACGAATTACGAGTCCCGCGACGTTACCCGCCATTTTTCCTCTTCGAATCTCCACGATCTCAACCCTCCCGATAATAGCTCTAGCTATTATGATAACCAAAATGCCGATTCGGAAGCCCTCGATAATTTTGCTCGACAAAATTTGGATGGCATCAACAAATTTTCTCGCCGTTACAAGGACCAAAATCTTAACATCCGCAATAATCAACGGCAAAATACTGGGGCCCAAGAAGCGGAGGTTATGGTGCCAGCTTTGTTTGGCGCCTGCCCACTTGGCCCTATCATGCCCTTGAGCAATCGTGATGCGTGGAGACTTCGAATGATCGATGGGTCATTTTTGGCCGATCGTCGACTTCCCATAAAATGCACCGATTTTAATAGCCCTGATATATCCTCCGGCGATGCCGGAAACGAAATCTTGGGACCCGAGGGGGGATGGGAGGAGCTATATTGCGGTGGAATTAACAAAAAGAGTGAACGACTGGTGACGTTATGTTATGATAGAAATAAGTGAGGCAGGATTATCACTTCACTACAAATTTTGATAGTCATGTAATTGGTTTGGTGGTGCCTTCTTATTTTTATTAAAAGAGAAAGGCCCTACCAACTACTGGACTTCCAAGATTTGTAAATACATATTGGTAAACAATAACAAAGTGAAAAACACATTTTGATTAGGTTGTTTACTATAGTTTTACATTAAATTTAATGCTCTCTAGTAGGAAACCATATCTTCGTTATCTGTACATATACTAATTTTTTCTTTTTACAACTTTCTCAGGCTCAATATATTTAATTAATATCATAAATATTTCATTAGTTGTTAAATGGAATCTTCACTTTTATTAATAACTATAGATCCCATAACCTATTGTATTCTCGATACAATATGTATTTTTTTATATATATATCAAGATGCCATCTGAATCGCATTCAATACCCCACACCGACATACTACAATAATTTCCTGCCATCTTGCCCCAGCAATTTAATGGAAAGCTCGGAGTTTTACAACAAATTATCGACCGAAACCCTATTCTTCATCTTTTACTATTTCGAAGTAGTTTTTTATACTATTTTTTTTGTTTTTTAAACAGTTCCCATCTTTGTGTCATTTTAAGGAAGTTGCCAAGTCATCTTTAGTTAAACAATTACAGTTTTTATAAAAATATCCTTCCTGACCTGTAAAAATGGCCCCATTAATTAAGATCGATCGAAAAATGGCATTCATTCATTTAGCACGTCGGTTTAGGACCCACCCAAAGGGGAACGAGCGCGAATTAATTGGGTCCCCCTCATTTCGCTCTGGTTTTATCCGCGAGGAAGCCAATAAAAATCGCTTCTTAGTTGTTCGATTATATAAAATAAATTATAAATAATTACTTACCATTTAAAATTGGGAATATTTAGAATCGTGCTATTACATAATCAGGCGTATAAATCATTTTTTTCGAAAAGCAGAGGATATCTCGTTTATTAAGAAACAAAATTATTCAGGTTAATGAAAAGAAAGCCAAACATAAAAACGTTATTTCTGATAAAAAATTCCTAAAAATGTCTTATTTCATTACCTATTTTAAAAAAATTACCCTCCTTATTAAAATCTTTGAATAATGATAAAACCCTAATTACCCAGATTAGAATGATAAAGAGGAAGCTAATATAAAATTACTTTCTCTTAGTTGTTTCAATTATATGAAATAAATTAATTATAAATACTTGCCCTTTAAAAATTGAATATTTAGAACCGTGCTAATACATAAACAGTCTCGAGCAGATGATATCTCGTTAGTAAGAAGTGAAATTATTCGTTTTAGTGAAAAGCAAAACGTAAAAATTTCTGATACCCAAAAAAGTCCTATTTTTAATAAAATCATCTCTTTTTGTTAAAATTTTGTAATAATTAAGGGACGATATAATATATAAAACATGAATGATGATCGAAATTTTAAAAAACAACATTTTTAGAGATTGGAACGCCCTAGAGGAATTATTACATTTTACCTCGCAATTTTTTTTATAAAAGAAAAGAGATTTAATGGCTTTGGAGATTTTTAGATATTATACCATTTTTCTAAAATATCTACGTTTACATTTTATTTTAATGCGCCCAAAAAAAATATATATTTCTTACTGCTATTCCTAACAATCTTCATCGTATTTTAGGGATCAAAGTCTCAATACATGGCAGCCAAAACGCTTAAAAAGTTGTCTTGGAGGTTCCACACCAAATATTTAATGTGGTTTCAAAGGCACGAAGAACCTAAGACTATCACGGACGAATATGAACAAGTTGATTTACAGCTTATTTTCATCAGTTATTTTTTAAACAGGAACCTGGCAGTGGCATAAAGGATGGGCACCATCTTTGAGGGTATAGGCTCCCATATGGGTAGGGTGTAATGAGTACCTTGTACGTTGCCGTCTATTTTTCCTCTCATGTATATGCTATGGGACAAATCTCTTTGCCTTCTTTTTTATGGTTCTTGCTAAAAAAAAAATTTTATTATTATTCCCACTGAAGAAATTTTCTAATTTGATTACCAACTTATTAACCCTAACAAACACCCTTAATATAATTTTTTTTACAAATTGTTGATATGAGCGTTTGGAACAGAACAAGAACACCTGCAACTGGCTTAAGGGAGTCAGAGTTTCTTCAAATTTTTATATATCAGAATCAGAAGCGCATTTAGTAAAACATTGGGATTCAAAAATATTTTTAGTTGAATCTTATTGCGTACAAATTGATGTCAGGAATATACAGTTAGCGCGAATGTAAACAAAATTTGCAGTGAAGAATACAAAAAAAATAAAGCATATTTTTCATATACTTAGACACGAAAAACTTATCTTGCTTAGGTTTAAATAAAAAAAATATTCTACATTTGTGCCAAGGTCTCTTTTTTTCCCCAAAAATATAATGTTCACAATTATTAAATTCTTAGGATAGATTGTTTATCATATCTGCTCTTCATGATTTCACTAAAATCACACTATTTTCTTAAAGGACTATTTTAATTTATAAGAAATGGGCGTATTAGTGCATGTGCGCCATTTTCTTGGTTAGCTATTTGCCGACTTTAATTCACATTCCAAACTTTAGATAAACATGTATATAATGGCTTGCATTAGACTAGAATTTTTTTGGAGGGGGTCTAATACAATGTTCAATTTCGTACCTATATTAAGATGGGAAAAAAAAGGCTTACTCATTATAGCATTATATCCATCCAATTATGTTGGGAGATAATGCTAAGAAAAGATGTAAAACCTTTTCCTACTTTTTTTTTTAATAGTTCGAGTGTATTCTAATGTTAATTCTTATAATTTTCATAAAGGGGACTTACATATATTTCGATTACGAAAAATGGAGCCAAAGGAGAAAAGACGGGTTTACCTTCGAATACAAATTTTTAGAGGACAAAGACTTAAATTAAATTTTTGTATTAAAAAAAAATTATAATATCGGACTTAGCTTAAATTTGACCAAGAAATCAACCCAGCCATTTAATTTATTATATATATATATATTATATTATTATATAGATTAAATATTTTAAATGTATATGCGTGAATATATATATCGTGTTTTTTAAAAAAAATAATAAAATAAAATAAAGAAGCTATTAAATAAAATATATTTTATGCGTAAGAACTGAAACATTCTTCCGAAATTTATTGGGGAAATTTTCTTTTTAATAGGATGAATCGGAAGATCACATCCTAGGGACCTTTAAACCGTTATTATCGCCGAACTTAAACCATTAGAAATTTTGTCACTCGAACCTAACCTATAAAAAGATCTGTGAACCGGTTGGAAGCTTTTGATATTCCCAACTCTTCTAAGAGTTATATTAAATAACGATTTTGATTGAAAAATATTAGTAAGTTATTTTTAAAGATATTGGTATATTGCCATTCGACCATACCAACCACCCTGGTTAAGCGTATAGAAGTGTTCTCAGCCATATAATTTATTCCTCCTCCCTTGTATATATAATTTGACAGAAGAGAATGTTGAAAATATTTCAATTTTGCCATATAAAATTTAATTTTTTTTAAAGAATAGTGACAAAATTTTTTTTAAAGAATGTGCTTTCAATTTACATAATTCTAATAAGGTTGTATGTAAAAAAAAAATCGAACCGGTTTCTAAGGGTTCAAACCCAACCGATATTGTAACCGAACCGATATTCAACACGTGTATTTGAAATCGGTGTGGTCCAAAACTCGGCTCTATAGTCGGACAAAAAAGGACTTTTGGAAAATATCTTTACAGGCAGGCCAGAAGTTTTCTCAAGTTTTTTATAAAAAAAAACTTGCAATACGGTAAATCGATGTCTTCTTCCTTCATAATTGTTTTTTTTTATTAGGAACCAGGCCAGGAAGGGCCAAGTCAAATGAACCTTTTTTTAAAAAAAATTGTTCAAAATATTATATTCTTTTATTTATTTTTCTTGCTTTTCTTATTTTTAAACGAGTATTATTAAATATTATAATTGGAAACGGCGCATGCTCTTGGAAAGTATTTATAAAATGGAGTCAGCCAGGTTTCAATCGAATCTATGTTGATTTACATTTTTTTTCAGCAAAGTAAGAAAAATTTTGAAGGATGATTGCAACAGATAATATTTAATTTTATTGGTTTGTTTGATAAGACCTTTTTGAGAGGATTAGAATATATCTAACAATTATAAACTTGTACTGTACAGCTATTAGTGATCTAAATTGGGCCTAATTTTTCAAGCCCGGCCCGAATTTATTAAAAATCCCGACCTAGCCCGAACCCAAATTTTTTTTAAAATAGGCCCGATGCCCGATCGGTCCGGGTTTATTTTCGCGGATCTAAAACTGCTATATCGTCAAAAATTGCAATAATTTCAGATCAAATATCCACTTAGTTTGGTTCAAGGGGATAAAGGTTAAACTTCGGGGGCTAAAAATTTTGAGGGTTTACAGGATTAAGGTTATAAAAAAAAAATTTTTTTCAGTTGTTCATTTGAATTTGGGTCCTTAAATTTTTTGCAAAATTTGTAACGCATAATAACTCCTCCCCAAGGAAAAGTAGTGTCGGAATAAAGTACTAATTTGAGATTATATGTAGGTTTTTTTTAAAGTTCGATTGACTCAGAACGAAAACATTAAATTTTTATGTTAAATTTAGAAAGAATAATTTGCTAATTATATACTAAAAATTCTGTCAATTATAAATCTTAATTTATTATATATAAAATAAATTATATCAATATTTAATTTGGAACTAAAACAATTTTTTTTTTAAAGCAAAGAATTATTTGTAATTTTCATTTCTAATATAATAATCATAAAATTAATAGATTTTTTAAAAAAAATGTGTATATGATAGATTTAACAGGCACTATCATATATATTAATCTTAATTTATTATAAATTATATCAATATTTAATTTGGAACTAAAAAAGTTTTGTTTTTTTTTAAAAAATAACCTATAATTTTTATTTATCTAATATAATAATCATAAAATTAATGGATTTTAAAATAAAGATGTGTATAGTATATGATAGATTAACAGGCAGCCCAACCCTATCACGGAGGAAGATCGTTATTTTAGGGAGAATTAAACCATAATATTTTTTTATATTAGTCAGTAAATATTTAATAAAATAAATTTTTTTTATATAAAACCAAATAACGATTTAATAGAGAAATTGGATTCAACTTAATTTAATGATTTTATGATATATATTTATAAAAGAGGGCAGGAGAGTTGTGAAGATGTTATTTTCGATAGAATAAAAATAGGGAGGGGATGCGCTGGCTTAGGGAATGCAGAAGTGTCCGTTAATTCATTGTAGGGTTTGAGAATATTGCTTTTGAGGCTAGAAGACAAATCTACTAAACTGTATGAATTTGTTATAAAATTTCAAAAAGGAGTAATTAAAGATTTTCTAGTGATTGGCTTATGGCGCCTAAAAATACTAATAAATTATTTTTTTTATGTTTATTATAAGATGTAAAAAAATTAATATTTAATTAACCCTCGAGTTAGGGTATTAGATTAGTTATGCAGCATACATTTTAAAATATTTCTGGTAACATATTTTTGATTTGGTTTTTCTTGTGCATTTCTTATTTAGTGATTTTTTCTAAGTTGATTTAAAGGACTGGGGGAGATAGGAACATTTTATTACACGTTTCAAATATACTTCTGGAGTAAAAATATGAAATGTTAAAACCTATCACTAAAATTCTTATAAATTTATTAAACCCTTAGTTTATCAGTGTCAGTGTTTGCATTGTTTTATTTGCTAAAACCTTTAATATATTATAATATTAAATAATATTGGAAGACTTTTAAGCTAAATATAAAATGAATAAACAGCTGGGTGGATTGTACGTGAAAATTTAACTGTTGTCAATATCTAAAAGTAACGTTTCTTATACCAAACCAGGTCCAAAATTTATAATTACGGATATTTTTAATAATTTTCCAAAAAATAATTTTAAGGAATAAGCCATAATTTAAGTATCTTTTATTTTATCATCTCTCAACACCTTGAATTTCTTTTTTTTTCAAATAAAGATCCTATGATAACAAATTTTATGAGACAAAATCGTACACAAGCCGGGCCTAAAAATTTTTTTTTGAAATACCCGATCTGCAGGTGTCTGGCCAAAATACTTCAAGAAAAAAAAATTTATATTTAGCTTTGAAAATTGATCGTTTCCATGCAAATTTTAGACAAAGATTTACAAACTAATCCTCAATCGCTCGAATTAGGTCCAGGTCCCTTTCTACTTGTCGAGTTAATAAATCATAAAATATTTTAAGTAATTTTCTTGGATACTAATCTTTATTCTATAAATTATAATAACTTTTTTTAAAAAAAAACAGAGCATTTGATAAGTTTAAAATTTAAACAAAACAATGTCTTATTCCATCAGGAAGGGAAATTTCCTTCCGGAAGAGAACTTTCCTTCTATCATGAATAGAACTTTCCTCCAGGAAGTAAACTTTCCCTCCTTCTTTCTAACAGAACTTTTAAATAAATATGAATATCTAAATGGGGAAAAAAATGCTAAATAGATTGAAACTTCCGTCATCGGCGCATTATTACATTGATTAATCAAAAAATATCTTTCTTTTTTTTTATTATTTTCTATCAGTATATTGATAAAAAATAAAATAATATGATATAATAAAAATGTCTTTAAAATATAAATTTTTAATATATTAAAAAAATATTTTATAAAATTTAATGATTTAATTCTTTATTTTTTGGATTTTTTTTTTTAAAAAAAAAATTGCATTAAAACGTAAGAGGAATTTAAATATAATTATATTTAGTTGATTTTATTTTAAAATAAAAAATTCGTCAATATATCAACGAGGAAAATTTAAAATTATGAACTTAATCTCGGTGATCGAAAAATATGACTACATTTCTAAAATAAATTCATTTTGGTTATTAAATTTTTTTTAAAAAACAAATCTACACATTTCCCCATCGCCAGGAAAAGTGACGAGTTTTTTGAAACAAAAAACACTGAATATCTCAATGCACAACACAATCGATTATAATAATGAGGCTTTTTCTATGATGGAAGATCATCTTCATGGCATAAAAGGTAGTCTCTGAGCCCCGTTACTAAATAATGGCTCACAAAATTATATAGGTATGAGTAAAGTTGTTGGTGATAAGGTGAAGACATTGTATCGATCGCGACTTTAAGACTTCTCGGAGTGCCAATCTTCCACGATAAAACGGTGTCGGCATGGGCACCCAGATATGTTCTAAGCGTGTGACGACACAAAAACTTCAAGGACGGCACTCTCCTAACCTTTCCCTCAATAATATGCCAATAATTATAGCATTGGATCAGCTTTAATAAACGGCGGCAGCGGTCAGCCAAAATGTGCTTCAACCTTAAGTTACGGCTAGCATCTTCTTGAGGGTTAGAATCGGAAAAATTTGTAACATTCATATTGTCAATATTCAGCATTTTATCCATCTTGATACGAATTAGATCAATGGCCGTTAAGCCCGAGCGGTCCTTTATGACTGAGGAACAATTTCCTAATCTTATCAAGTATTCAGCGCAAAGAAATTGATTATTGGTCACGGCCTTGTGAAGGGGGGTATGGCCCAAATTATCCTGACAATCCACGTCTACCCCCGTGAACCATAGACGCATATTATGGATGAGCGACATATTTACGGGATGAGTGTTGCTGGGAGAGGTAGCGTAAAAAAACTTCACCAAGAGCGGTTCCAGGTTGAGAACCATGCTCAATTTAAGCATAGTTTGGAACTCTTTCAGATCCGCGAGATTCAAAAATATGTCTACATCGAACATGTCGCCAGAGTCATCAAGAGATTTAGGTTTATTGGACGTTGTTTCAAATAGGCTTCTAAGATTTTCGTAATACCTCCGCACAATGTAAATAAACGATGCATCGAACAAGGTTAACAGTGGGGCGTCGAAATGCTTTTCATTTAAACATGTGTTATGTATCTTGAATTCCTTGATTATGCTTTGGAAAAATGGTATGGAGTATAAATGTGCAATGTGAGACTCGGAAAGTTCTGAGCGGGACAAGTTATCATCAGTGTTAGATATTTTAAGGCAAGGGCTATCATAGCGAGTAGAATGATTGGAATTTTCTACATTATTAAACAGGGCGTGCAATGGAGTCTCCCCATATTTGGTTCTGATATTCAGGTTAAGTTTTTCTTTGCATGTTAGATTGGGTGTAGGGTTGACGCTTTTAGAGAAGTAGGCTAATAATGTGGATAAAAACCATTTTGGCTCCAGGGCGTGACAATAGTATAGCGGCGTGAAACCTTGAGCGTTGCATGTCATCATTAACGAGCCAGAATTTATTAATTGCAATATTATGGGCAAATATTTTACAGTTGTGTCTTTTAAAATACTAGATTTTTGATTCATCTGAGAGAGGGTGGCCAAAAATGCTAAATTTAGGGGAGTATTCCCAATATTGTCCTTGCAATTGACACACACGCCGTGATCAATCAATAGTTTGATTATATCTAGAAAAAACAAATTTAAATTTGAGAAGGTTTAATTTCAAATATAATAAATAAAATTTAAAAATTATGATTAATTTATATATCATTGGTCAGATTCATTTCCATGTCAAAAAAAATTGCAAGAAAATTGAAATTCTCTGGCTCTATCTGTCCCCTTCCAATTTCTATAAGAATTAGTGGGCACATATCTTCATAAAATTTTAGCTTAATATAATCACCCTGAGGATAATGGGGATCAAAATTATACCCTATATACATGATTGGTTCTTAATTAAGAACTAGACTTAATTCGAAATGTTTTTTTTTAAATTGTAAAATATAGTTTAAACTGTGGCCTAGTGTTGCTAAACGGCTCGTTTTGAGCCGATTTTTAAAAAAAAGACTAACTAAATATTTTAGAGCCAGAAAGATATGGCATATGCCTCGAGATTTCGATAATATATGTCTAAACCTTTCTTTCCTTCTGTAAGTAAAATCTTCAGGCTTGGGTAATATTTTTCTAGGTGAAATATTGAGTTAGTCTCCCAAAACGAGCTGTTTAACAAAATGCCTATATATAATAATATGGATAATTCTTATCAATAAAAAAAAATATTTAAAAAAAAACAATCTTAACAATGTTCCGAAATGTTCCATAATATTATTTATCACTTAAAAAAAAATCATACAAGCAAATATTTAAATATTAAACTGTAAACATAATCAACATGATTCCTCAATATCACCTGACCTAATGCGCATGCTAATCTGACATAATTGCTTATTTTTCAGGTTCAAATACTGTAAGTAAACTCCTGCCCATCCCACAGCTCCAGATAAATAACTCAACAAATCCAGAAAGTCTGAATCAATCATAGCTTTCACAATAATTATATAAAAGATCCTAATTGAGGTACAAAGAATCCTCAGAATTATAAGGTAATTCTTTTGCAGGAAAAGACCCAGTGCTGATAGATGCGGTCAACACATTTTGCATTCTGGCATACATACTACCCATGATCAAGAGACAAAAATCTTGAAAGAATGAAGTCAATCTTAATTCCAGGAATTATTAAAATTTTGATGTCATCCACAAAATTATCGATTATTGATTTAGTTAGTAATTATTTGATTCAATATTTGAACCAATTTCGTTTTTACATCTAGAACCGATAAGAATAGTATCGTTAAACGGTTCAATTTGGGCTGATTTTTAAAAAAGGGCTGACTCAATATTTTATCCAGAAAAATATTGCCAAAACTTAAGGTTACGCTAATAGATGTTCAAGCCTTTGCAATCTGTGACCAAAATCCTCAAGTTTTGTGACCGCACCACTCATCTCAATTGGCGGCAAGTCTAGCCCTGATATAAAATCTCTTAAGGGCCAATTATCCCAATTATTTCATGGAAATTGTAAAAGAATATGTCACGTTTTAAACAATGGATCACGATGGATAGAGCAAATCTCGAAACGATTATAAAGTCAGCTGATGATTTCATCGATTATCCACTGGAAAAAGTTAAAATTTTACTGTATCACTAGTTTTTGTTTTTTAGGTGTGTCTCAATATAAAAATCGCAAAAGTTTCTAAATATATGCCTTCATAAATATGATTTTAATATTCCTGCCAAGTGCCATTTCTTAGGCCACTGCTCATGGCAAAAATGGGTGTGATGTTATAGCAGGAACTTGTCAAAAGATTAGTTTTCAGAGCTAATCTTCAAAGACCATATAAATATCATATTCTAACCCCGTTAGAATTATATAATTATGCAAAAGAAAAAATTAAAATTCAATTATATATATATATATATATTCAATCATATTTAGTTTTAAATTAAAAACTAGTTATTTAACATCAGTGAAAAACAAAAAAAAAGACGATTTTGACCTTTAAACCCAACTATCCTTATTAATATAGTTTCAAATGGACTAAAAATTTTATGATCTTATGATCTAATGTCAACATATATAACCAGCCTATAAAGGGGTCAGCCAAAAGATGGTTGATTTGATATGGCATGACCCACAAAACAACAATTTTAAGTACTTTTTTGATTTAGCTCCAAATTTTATATTATAATTTTAAATTACTTAGACTCCTTCACCAGATATTGTTGACTCTTTTTTAACTACTTCTATATAATGTGTTTTAAATTTTTTGATATGTATTTGAAATTATAATTTATAATGTTTTCTTATCATATAATTTGCAAGTTATTTTTAATTTAAATGTAAATGGCAAAATAAACCAATGTTCATACCTTTTTCCATTACCTAAGGTAGTAATATATAATAGCTAAAATTTTGTTTGATATAACTCCAACATATGTCTACAAATTATTATAGAAATAAAAGGGCTCAGCAATAAGTTGCTTGATTTTTCATGGAATAGCCATTCCATTTATAACCAAAAATGTAATTTAATAATTTATATCATATTTTAAAAAAACCTATATTTGTGCCTTGAATAGCAAAATGAAGACATGATTTTTGCTGCATATCTAGTATCTGTAAATTTGCACCATTGACTATAAAAAGTTTGACTAAATTTAAATCACCATTCTTGCATGCATAAAAAAGTGGGACCATGCCTTCACTATCAATTTGATTGATGCTGCAACCATTCATTATCAATAATGAACCTTCAACAAATTTCTAATTACATAAATTTTTTAATAAAAATTACACATGGTATAATCACAATTTTGAGCTGCAATGCAAATGGCAGGTTTTTCAAGGTTCCCAATACGATATCTGTAATCAACATCTACACCCTGATTAATCAATAATTCAGCTAAGTCAACATTTTTATTTTGCAGCGCAATATAAAATTTGCATGAAAGCTGCAAACTTCTAAGAATGGCAGTCATTATCTTATTCCATAATATCGATTAAAAACTATGAGTTAAAAAAACTATGGCTCATATGAAGAGGATGTCTTCTTTTAATTAAGTGTTAGGTATGGCATTGGATTTTTTATTATCTGCTTTTTTAATAAAAATTTTAAAAGCATATTCATTTTAAATATAGAGTAGGAAATAAAATATAGTAGCATAACGGGCAGGAGCTCTAGCTTTCTCAAAAATTTGGAGGTCCTCTTCAAAATTTATAATTTTATACCATTTTAAAAAATTTAGTAATGTCAGCTAAAATGCAATTTTTGATAATGTTAGCTTAAAAAAGGTAATTTTGAAAATTATTTATTTGTTATGAGTTATATTGATTAATTTATATTTTGCATTTGGTGACAATGTATTATTAAGATACTATAACAACTGTATTGAGTTTATTTTTTTTAATGTAAAAGACTATTCTATTGTAAAATGGATATTTACATGAATTTAATTACTTAGATAAATAATGATATCGCGCATAATAACAATGCTTTTTGTTTTGTTTTAACACATTATTATCTTTGCAAAAGTAAAGTATATACTTCTAAAATCACATTTAGAAATAAGATTCTTGAATTAACGCTTTTTCCAAAGATGATTTTAGGGAGATAATTTTGGGTTAAGCTCATTATATAAACCGACTTTGATAAATATAATTTTGGTTATCATTTATTAAAGCCGGGACCTGATTTTTAAATTTTGTTATTTTAACAAATTTAGTTTATAAATAAATATAGTGTAGTTTAATTGCTTGGTTGGGTCGAATTGGCATGATTTTTGATCGAAAAAATGAAACATAACCAACCCCAACCGAATGAATCGATCTGATCTACCAAATCCATATACCCAATCACCCAGTGTCTACATGAGCGGGAGGGGTAGGAACAGTTTGCATCCTATTTTTTGAGGGGGTGGGGGATAGACTGATGGGGGTAGGATAAATTTTTTGGGGGGTTATCTATTAGATTTCGAGATGAAATAGGACAAAATTTATTGCTGTAAATATTAATACTTTTATTATAGAATTATTATAATACAATTCATCGACCAAATCTACATATTGCAAACAATCATACACATTGTTTTCCAAATGAATCTTTCTGCTATCCTTTTTAGATATTTCAGCAAGCTCATAATGCCATAATTATTAATTCATTGTAAATAATGGAGGTTTTAATTGAATTTATTATCTAAAAAATAAATTCTTTATATTCACAAAATATCGATAGTTGGTAGAATCTCTGAAAAGAGTATCAATAAATTAAAAAGGTGAAAACAATAATAGACAGACATCGCCGCCGAAGGCAGCGGGATTTTTTAGGGGGGTAGGCAAAGGTTTTTGAACGGGGTTTGCATCCAGTGAAAATCCTGTCATGTAGACGCTGCAATCACCAACCCAGGTATCGACCCGGGCACAGGACTATTTATTTTATTTTTTAATTTAATGGCACATACAAATTCTTCAAAACTATCAACATAAGATTTTGGAAAAATATAATCTTATCTGGATTGGATATAGAAAATTCTTTTTAAAAATTTCTACATTTTACGCAATAATCGGAGAAATTTTTTTTTATAGATCCAATCCAAAAAAATTTCTTTAGAGTGTTAAAAAGTACAATATTATTCTGAAATTTTATCATTATTGACATTCTTTAGTTTTCTATATTATTAATTTTAAGCAAAAAATAAAATTATTGTCGAAATCCGAGTGCAATTGGATTAAAAAAAATATTGTTAGATTAAGGAGTTCGAAAAATGGCTGTCCCACATTTTTTGATATTGTCATTAAAAAATTATTAACTTTTTAACAATTTCATTAAAATTATTTTATTTATTCTAAGTTAATACATAATTATTCACAAATATTAATAACCGATTCAATTCAAAATCTTATATAAATAATGAATATCAAAACTTGAAAGATAACGTTGTTTTACAAATTTTTATTAAGTTTGATGATTAAAATATCGTCTAAATTGTATTTGTCCAATCTAGTTGGTAATGGGGTTACTTAATCGTAGTATAGTGCACTGAATGATCTTTCCATCGATACTTGGGACCAAGGATCAGCTAGAACTACTCGTTAGAGTGTATATAATACAGATTCTTGAAATTATTTGGATAGCCAATATTGCAAAAATATTATGATGGAAGGCAACCTTTGGATATATATTGTGCAATTTATAATATCCATTAGCGAATTAGGGTTAAATAATAAATAAGTACATTTCGGTTCAATAATAAACTCAAGCCAACTATTGAGCCAACTAAGTAGAGCCAACTCCTGAGCTTACTAATGCCAACTCACCTGATCGGCTTGAGCTTTAGCCAGCGTCTACATGACAGGATTTTCACTGGATGCAAACCCCCTTCAAAAACCTTTCCCTACCCCCCTAAAAAATTCCCGCCACCTATCATTATTTTCACCTATTTATTTATTGATACTCTTTTCAAAGAATTTATAAAGGATAACTTAAATTAATCTATCTCTACTACCAACTATCGATATTTTGTGAATATAAAGAATTTATTTTTTAGATAATAAATTCAATTAAAACCTCCATTATTTACAATGAATTAATTATTATGCCATTATGAGCTTGCTGAAATATCTAAACCTTTTAAATTACATTTAAAAGGATAGTTTGTTTGGAAAACAATGTGTATGATTGTTTGCAATATATAGATTTGGTCGATGAATTGTATTATAATAATACTATAATAAAAATTAATTTTTACAGCAATAAATTTTGTCCTATTTTATCTCAAAATTTAATAGAAAACCCCCAAAAAAAATTATCCTACCCCCTCAAAAAAATAGGATGCAAACTGTTCCTACCCCTCCCGCTCATGTAGACGCTGGCTTTAGCCAATTTTACAACTTTAGACTTATAACCCAAAAATTATTAATTAAATAAACACATATTACCCTCATTTTCTTGATGATATATAATATATAAATATCCTATAAATTCCTAAAATCAGCCCAGTCCTAGAAGATAATTATTTATAATTCGATGCTAAATATTTAGTTAATATTAAATTGAACTATTCGTCCTCTAGTTTTTAAATGTGGTTTATCGATCAAAACTCAAGTTTGCCAATCGATTTTCTAGTGTGAAGTAAAAATTATCAAATATTTATCAGTTTAAGAAGAGGACAATTTTTTTTAAAAAATAAATAATCTTATAGATAATTATTTTCTAGGCTAATATTGAAATACTAGTCCTCTATGCATAAAAAATATGATTGAGCAAAATATTCACAATAAAATAATTATCAATTTTTTATTAATAAGTTGGTTTTGGGTTGGTTCTCGGGTCGGTGCCCGGTGCCTGGGTCGGTGCTTGGATCAATTTGGGTTAGTTCTGGTTCATTTTTTCTAAAAATCAGGGTTGTGGTCGTGTAAACCAACTATTTGACCACACTAAAAAATGGTGGATTTATACTTATAATTTTTTTTAGCTATGTCCATGATAATCTGGATTTTTTTAAAATTCTTTTATTTACTATCGGGGTTTTGGTTTCTGTGAGTTGCTAGTTAAAATAATTTGGAGATAAGGTGTATATCCGGTTTGTTACCTTCAAATTATTCTCATAAAAATGGATCCAAACATAGAACATGTCCGGTCTGCTAAGTTCCATTAATGTGTCTGTCCACCGGACTTCGAGCGGAAACATTAGAGGGTATGCGTGATGGCTATAAAAAAAAGTCTAATTTTAAAAAATTAATCTAAATTTAGAATATATTGGAAAAATATATATATTTTTTGTATTTAAAAAAGAATAAATTAATAAGACAAGAAAATTAAATTATTCATCTACTATAATTTTTCTCGAAATGAGTTATGTAGAATAAATATCGTTAGCTTTTATTGTATATCTTACCTTTATTTTAATCGTCGCAAAAAAATATTATTTGTATTTTATTAAATGACATTATGAGAAACGAAGACTCATTCCAAAATTATCATCTTTTTAATTTTCATTTTACAAATTTTATGTGTGCGCCTTTGAAATAAAAAAAATTGTAAAAATACAATTTTATCAAATTCTAGGTTTTTTTAATTTTCATGTTTTACCAAAAATAAAATCATTCAGCTTATATTTCTCCAAAATAATGGTAACAGTGAAAGTTTATAAAATGTATATTGGCCCATATAAATGTTAATTATAGGAAAATCTAATCTTTATTCATTTATAAATGTTATGCTTAGTATAAATAAAACAGATGAAGTAAGGAAAGCAATCCTATCTTTCCACCAAGACTCCGCTTATGGCCTACATGGAATCATACCCATATTCCTCCAGGGCTTAACTTATCCATTGGCCAGCTCACCAACTTCCATCCTTCTTAAAATCACAATCTTGTGCAACCGAATCTTATAGGGTGATGCTCCCAGCCATGTCTCCCCCATTCTTTTTGATGCCATACTTATAGTTTTACAGAAGCATAACATTGATATCAAACCAATAGCCATTGGTTCAACTTTCCGCCGCCCTGTCGCTAATATGATTACATCCATCATAAAATATGAAGCCTCCTACCTTCTCACCCTATTTCAATTTAGGGTAGACATTGTTGGCGGATGTGAGGCCGTTGTTTTTTACTCTTCTTTATTTGGAGAGCAATCCCACAAATGAAACACATCATTTCAAAATTGATTTTGTTAATGCGTACAACACCCTCTCTCGTAACTCATTCTTACCAAATTTCTTTATTCTTGTTCCCAATTTCCATTAATTTTGCAGTTCGATTAGCAAAAAATACTCCCAGAGGGCATCCAATAAGGTGATCTACTAGGATGCTTTTTATTTAGTCTTGTAATCAATAAAATAATTCATCAGAATGCTCACTTTCACTCCACGTCTGGTATATAGAAGACGAAATCATTAGTGGACCTCAATTGGAAGTCAATAATCCAGTACACATTATCTAGGAAATGAAATGCGTTGTTGATCTCATTAGCAACCCCATATAATCCGAATTTGTGCAAGTAAACTACTCCGATCAAAATCCCCACAATT